ACTTAAATACTTCAAATATATTTTATAAGCCACCAAACACTCTMCTTACTGTCCTTTAACAGATGCAGACAACACTGGAAGGCTTAAAGTTGGTGCTTAATACAAATAAAAACATTCAGATTGTTTTCCAGACACCACTCACAAGTCAAACACCAAGAGAAAAAACTTTTGAGGGAACATCACCCCACAAATATTTGGCTGTTTGATTGAACTGACTGTCTTTCTTGTTAATCCCAACAGTCCAAGCTCTGAAAACAACCCAGATTAAATGCTGCTCCTCAACCCTTTGTCTCTCTGTAAAGCTATCACTCRGACCTTTTAACCTCAGCAGTCAGTTGATTAAAACCATAACTAGTACTGAGTCCTCAGTGGGGGTTATGGACTCTGGACAGAACAAACATCAACCCAGCTGGTCAAAAATGCTGTCAGTCAAAATTAAGACTTGAAACAGAAGCTGTTTAAATGAATCAGCTGGTCCAGGCTGCATGTTCAGGTCAGGTTAAACAAATGAAGACTCACCTGGTTTAAAGTGAGGCAAAGAGTTAACACCAGGCCACGTGTCCTCAGAGGGAGTTCCCAGAACCTAAAGGAGGAAGAGGAGAACATCAGCACCCATCTTAAAAAGAGATGAACATGTTCTGTACGTCCATAACTCTGCATGTTGTGTCTACATGTAATACATATCTGATAAAGACAGAGAGTCTTGATGATGATTATCTATTAATATTGTGTTTAAAGTGTCTGTTTAAGATTTCAGCTGAAATATGTCCACGTTTTAGCAGACTTGTTAGTTCAAACAGTGGAGTTTTGTCCTGTTGTTTATTTAAACATCACTGCTCATAAAAACACTAATGAATAAAATAACTATAAACTCTCTGTACAGGACAACAGCTAAACTGTAATTCTACTCTCTGTTCCCTGAGTTCTGCCACACAAAGCCCGTGTTTATGCTGAGAACACGCGGAGCAGCGGACATGCCTTCAACATGACCCAGCTCAGCTCAGCTGCTTAATGTTTTCCAGATTGTCTCTGAGCTGCGGGCCTGCATCAGAACCGAACGCGAGGTGGGCCAAGAAAGAACAGGGTGGAGGTCCAATGTGGGACACATCYGTTTCAGACAGCTCATGGTGAGAAGGAACTGTTTCAAATTAAAGCCTCGGCGTTTACAGGAACACTTTGAAAGGAGCGTTCTTCTTCCATGATCCAAACTGGGCCTGGTACCATCAGTCACCAGGTTGACATGTCCTCTGTCTCTTAGTTCAGTCAGGTCACACAAACCCAAACACATAAAGCATGACAGGCTGTGAAGTCTACATGTGAAAAAAAAAATAAAGTTTGTTTTTTCTGCTGTAGTTGAAGCRACACTGTTCTCATGTTGTACCAACACTACAAGACCACAAGGGGGCGGTGTGGACCCAATAAACAAAGGTTCAGTTTGCAGCTGAAGTTCCAACAAAAACCGAAAGTCAACCTCAAAATGAAAGAATGGTTTTCTGTTCTGTGCTCAGACTAAATGGTGATGAATAAATTATTTTTTACTGATTATACAAAATTAAAACAATCATTTAAACAATAAAAATGAATAAACAGAAGCTGAAGCTTATTTGTGCTCAGAAATCCTGAAGACAGAGAAAACAAACAGACATTCTCAGTAAGGATTTTAAATCAGAATCTTCAGATAAAATCACTTAACATTATGAATAATTTATTTACATTTCAGCCTATTTTAAACTTAAATATTGTTTTTGCTCTCAACTCATCAAACAGTTCTAAAAATAAACCAAATCAACAGAATTAACATTAGTTC